GAAGACAACTCCCATGATTCCACACTCAGTCACAGCTCATCAAACTACGCCTTTGCCTCTTTGTTTATTTTGAATACACACCCTCTAGCGGCGAAAATTACATATTGTGCCTTTAATGCTCATAAATTAAAACGTTTATAATAGGCGGGTTTAATAGCAGGTTCCCACATAAGAGGTTGTGACAGGTTACATATCGTGTGACAATTAATATTGCTCATTTGTGTGGACAAGGGAAGTGCTCAACTGTCCAAAAGCCTTGTATTATTTTTCTTGAAAGTTTGGTTTCTGTTTGTAAGGGGTTGTTTTAAAAAGTTATTTATATAGCCTAAAAACTAAACGAATTTAATACCTTTTTCTACCGTTCTCGGGATTTAAAAAATAATAATTTCTTTTTAATGTACGCAAGATAAATTATGAAGGTTAGCGAAGCGAATCTGCGACCCGTGTTTTACCTTCTGCATAATCGCCTTGGAAACGAGTTGTTTATTATGTTAGCCTTGAGCTAACCCACTTCGCTTCGTCTAGCTGCCTTTCTGTGTCTGACGGTAGATCGCGCTGATTTGACACATTAAGCAAACGTTTTACATCTCATTTAATATTATTTTATCACAATAGAAATGTCAAATTGTTGTTTTAGTAGCTAGCTAGCTAGCTAGGTTAGAAAAAAATAGGTCTCTAGTCGAAAATCTCTCCCTTGCCTTTTTCTCTCTATACTTCAATACGTTCAAGATGAAAATATTATTAATTGGACCTAGCGAGGTAAATCGTTTCATAGTATGTATGTATGTGTATCTTTATTTATTTGTGTAGATCACTGATTTTCACATTTCATATTGATAGTGTGGGTTTACTTTTTTTTTTTGTAGAAAATATGAAAACACCAAAGACGCTTTAATATGTTGTGCGTTTTAATAGACCGATGACGACCGCACAGAGTAGCATTATAACAGAACTTTCAAATGTATCTAGTATGATAAAATAGCGCTGTTTTTCCCCCACATAGGCACGACCGGAAGGAGCGGAAGCGGTCGTCAGTGGCATAATAAAAGCTCCGCTGCTTTCGAGCCGTATGTCATGTTCGTTCAGCAGCCTCGTTCCGCTTCGACGGCTTTCAGCCTCACCCTGCTTCATTCTACTATGTTAATAAATCATTAGCTCATCCATGAACATGATTTCTGCCCGAGCCCCGTAGGATTGCATCTGCTGTGGAGATGAAGAAGACAACTCCCATGATTCCACACTCAGTCACAGCTCATCAAACTACGCCTTTGCCTCTTTGTTTATTTTGAATACACACCCTCTAGCGGCGAAAATTACATATTGTGCCTTTAATGCTCATAAATTAAAACGTTTATAATAGGCGGGTTTAATAGCAGGTTCCCACATAAGAGGTTGTGACAGGTTACATATCGTGTGACAATTAATATTGCTCATTTGTGTGGACAAGGGAAGTGCTCAACTGTCCAAAAGCCTTGTATTATTTTTCTTGAAAGTTTGGTTTCTGTTTGTAAGGGGTTGTTTTAAAAAGTTATTTATATAGCCTAAAAACTAAACGAATTTAATACCTTTTTCTACCGTTCTCGGGATTTAAAAAAAAAAAAATTCTTTTTAATGTACGCAAGATAAATTATGAAGGTTAGCGAAGCGAATCTGCGACCCGTGTTTTACCTTCTGCATAATCGCCTTGGAAACGAGTTGTTTATTATGTTAGCCTTGAGCTAACCCACTTCGCTTCGTCTAGCTGCCTTTCTGTGTCTGACGGTAGATCGCGCTGATTTGACACATTAAGCAAACGTTTTACATCTCATTTAATATTATTTTATCACAATAGAAATGTCAAATTGTTGTTTTAGTAGCTAGCTAGCTAGCTAGGTTAGAAAAAAATAGGTCTCTAGTCGAAAATCTCTCCCTTGCCTTTTTCTCTCTATACTTCAATACGTTCAAGATGAAAATATTATTAATTGGACCTAGCGAGGTAAATCGTTTCATAGTATGTATGTATGTGTATCTTTATTTATTTGTGTAGATCACTGATTTTCACATTTCATATTGATAGTGTGGGAAAACAGCATTGGCCAATTTTCTATCTGACACAACAGAGACAATCGGAGCTGACTACAGCCCTACACAAGGAGTAAGGTGGGTTGATTTTTTTTTTTTAAGAAATGTTGCAACGTATAAATGTTTGCTGCCTGGCCAAAAGTTTTATTTTTGTCTATTCAAATATGAAATTTTTCCATCTTTAGGATACTTGAGTTTGAATCACATAATTTATCTAATGGCAACAAAAATTCAGCATGTGAAGTGGAACTATGGGATTGTGCAGGTGATTTCAAGTAAGTTGACCAAATGTAGACCCTTTTTCTGAACCAGACTTAAGTTGTCAAACAATTCCTGTTTCCTGAGTAAATTCATTCAGAATTGTATGTGCACAGGTTTGAATCATGCTGGCCAGCTTTGATGAAAGACTCCAATGGAGTAGTTATTGTGTTTAACCCAGATGTGCCCAGTCATCTCAAGGAAATAGAGACCTGGTACTCTACATTCATCTTCTCTCAGGGTCTACAAGAGGCCCAGTGTCTGCTCATAGCACATCATAAACCAGGGAGCGGGGCTGACACTACCCGTCCACCATTAGGTAACGTACCCTCTCACTACAGCATTAGCTGCATCAGATCATTGTAAGGTGCTTTTATTTGCATTTTGGTTTGAAACTGAATGAAAAGGAAATTTATTTTCTGAACACCCCTTCAAAAATTTCTTAAAGTTACATATGGCTAATAATTTTTAAACCTAATTAACTTATCCTCTGTGTAGCCCCACAGTTAAACAAGTTGCCGCTCATTCACTCAAATCTTGAGGAAGAGCCTGAAGATGTCCGACAGGAGTTCCACAAATACTTGGGAAATGTTATGCGGATGCTATCAGAAAAACAGGAGCGAGACGAAATGTCAATTATTACATAATTTTGTATATAAACCAAGTTAAATCTATATCACACATAATATATGCACATGCATTTTTCTTTCAGCTTTTGTATTTTTCCCCCACAACTGCATTAAAATCACTTTGACCTGGTAAAACTATTTTTTCATTAACACAAAAAGGTAAGATTTTAAAGGGTATTGGTTATGTTGTGTATATCCATGAATTCCACCATCTATCAGACTTATATTTAACAATATTGTATAACATTCTCCTGGGTACAAGTCATTAAAACGCTCATTCACTCAAATCTTGAGGAAGAGCCTGAAGATGTCCGACAGGAGTTCCACAAATACTTGGGAAATGTTATGCGGATGCTATCAGAAAAACAGGAGCGAGACGAAATGTCAATTATTACATAATTTTGTATATAAACCAAGTTAAATCTATATCACACATAATATATGCACATGCATTTTTCTTTCAGCTTTTGTATTTTTCCCCCACAAACTGCATTAAAATCACTTTGACCTGGTAAAACTATTTTTTCATTAACACAAAAAGGAAAGATTTTAAAGGATATTGGTTATGTTGTGTATATCCATGAATTCCACCATCTATCAGACTAATATTTAACAATATTGTATAACATTCTCCTGGGTACAAGTCATTAAAACCCACTGGAATTAAAGCAGCATGAAAGCTGTTCTTTCTTTAATAATATTTATTTATTTAGTTCCTGGATTCCAAGAATCTGATAAAGAAAACAGACAAAGCTCAGCAAAGAGAACAAGCAAACAGGACAGTCCACATTTATACATCATAGCCAATAAGGCCTCTCTTCCCAATGATCTCGCCGATGTAGAACCACATCAGAACCTCTGTGGCAACGAGTCCGTTCCTCAGAGCATCCTGTGGCAAATAAATAAAAGTGATGAGAGACATTACATAAATATGCTTGGAACTACTAATAATCAGGTTTGCCAAACAATAATTAAATGTACAATTTAAACCTCACATTCTGACAATGAAGTGCATCTTCAGTTCAATAAATTAACAGACACAGGCTGATATAAGAGCTTAATCAAGCTTTTATTTACCAGAAAATATTATAAATATTATTAGAAAAAGTGCTATGCTTGAACTGCAGTGAGTGTACTGGCTTCCAAATGTTTAAAGGAAAAGGTTTAGAGCACATTTTTCCTAAAATATTTGCATGTTGCAATTTAATTCAAAAGTCAAAGGGATAATTCACCCAAAATTTACTCACCCTCCACTTGTTCCAAACCTATACGAGTTTCTTTCTTATGCTGAACACAAAAGATTATACTGTGATGAATGTTGGTAACCAAACAACTGATGGTAGCTACTGACTTCCATAGAATTTTTTCCCCCCATGCTATCGAAGTCTATGGCTACTGTCAGTTGTTTGGCTACCAATATTCTTCACAATATCTTTTGCAGTGGTGTATAAAGTACCTGAAAGCAATACTCAAGTAAAAGTACAGATATCTTACCAGAAAATGACTTTGGTAGAAGTTGAAGTCACCGTTTAGAATATTACTTGAGTAAAAGTCTTAAAGTATGTGATATTTATTGTACTTAAGTACGAAAAGTATTTTTTTTAATCTTAAACGTACTTAAGCATTGAAAGTAAAAGTACAAGTAAATGCAAAATGGAAAAGAAGCAAATAAATATATATAAAAAATGTTCATACACAGCTTGAGTAGCAAGATTGTGTTCAGCTTTAACTCTTTCTTTAATTTTGTATTTGTGGGTAAGAATAAGAAGCACTTCATCCGGTACTTAGTGTCATTCCAACATAAGAAAACATTTCTGGAATCTAATTAGCATTTAGATGTATTTACACAGTTTATGTATCTCGGAAGGGAACAAGGACATGGATGCATTTAAACTGCAGTTACAGATGCATAAATAATGTTTTTTTAAAGGTCCCCTGAAATGCTTAGAAACACGCAGCGTTACTCTGAAACAGGAAGACAGGGCGGGACATATCAAGCAGCCCCGCCCCTTTTTAAAATAGCCAATAACGTTCGTTTATATCACAGCTTGGGCTTGAGCCATTCAGAGCCGTCGAGCTCCGTAAAACCGCATTTGACAGGGTATGCCAGCCACAATCTCATCCATATTGCTATAAAATATAGCATTCTGTGTAGAATTCAAATAGCTCCGATACATTTTGTGGTCTGCGCCGACTCGCGCATGTGATCCGCTCCGTGCTATCGTGTCTCTGGACCGGAGCAGAGTGTGTGTGCGGTGCGATGGTTAGCGTGACACAGCGCGAAACCAGACGACTTTTTTTCCTCAATGGAAAGCATAGTTACACTGTTTGAATCGTTCCCTGTCACCTATATAGTGCACTACGTGCCATTCACTGAACAGAAAATACTAATTCTGTGGACAAGTGACAGATTTCAGCCGCGGCTTCAGCGTCTATTTTATAGTGTAGGGGCGGCCGCTTCGGATTCTAGAGAGCATTTGATTGGACAAAGTTTGATGAGAAGCTGAAGTACGATGTGACGTCAAAAAAAAAA